CTCCTAGTGAATTGTTTGTATCCGTTTCATGTTGGCATTTGTAGTTTGTATTTTGAATCGTTAAGTGCTGTTTATACAGTATAATCAATGCTTTCCCAACTTGTTCGGTTGCCCTCCATGACTAAATATTTGTGGAACAAGATGTTTACTGTAACTATCTTTAAAATCGATAAGGGAGCACACTTTTACTTCATCTTTTGCCAGATAGTGAATGCCAGGTGGTATGGGGGTCAGAAATCCAGCATTAAAAAAAAAAAAAGGAAAAAAAAAAAAGAAAAAGAAAAAAGAAAAAGAACAAAAAAGTGAAAAGCAGGAAAATACAGAAAAGCACAGAAGTATGACAGAATATGAGAGAGATTTGGCTATTATAGTTTGTTAATATAAAAAGAAGCTAATACTTTTACATGAACTTTAGAAGGTATAGTATAGTTTTAACTGCTGTTCACTTAAGTCAGACAGGTTTTGGCCACGTGTACATGACTTCCCTTTTGGAATTAGCTTTACAGTTAATTTAAAACTCCTTTCTAGAGCCATTAAAAGATGCACATGGGGACTGACATTTATGGAAAACAGTAGCCACTTCTAGTGACAGAACACAGACTACCAACTAATTGACTTGGATTTCACAGAATTGCAGACTTTTACTCCAGGCTTTCAGTGTCTTTGACTGCGAGGATTGAAATCTATGATTTAGGGCTTCCATTTTAGACCACGTGCTTAATTCCTATTTGCAATCCAGAATTTACTGTATCAGTTTTGATCTGCTCAACTGATAACAACCCCTTCCTCCAGTCTGAATTAAAGAGCCCCAGACCAATCAGCCTTACTGGTAACATTTTTCTTTCAAAGCGCACTTTTCCTGAAAGCAGCCAGTGTGTGCAACTGAATTGGGCACACATGCTCACAGCCTTGGAGCCTGAAAGACACTGGGGTAAGATAAATGAGCTCTAACTTGCTGGGTTGGGTTACTCCCTGTCTAATCTAGCACATCAAGAGACGTTCTAGCTGTCCAGAGGCTAATATACCCTAGAGGATGTCATAAAAGGGAGTGCGAAATACGACCTCAGGAATCTGTTACTCTTCACATATACCAAGCACTAGAAAAGATGGGTTTTTTCACTATGTGAAAAGCAAGTCTCCTGTAGCTGACAAACCTATGTTAAAATCTGTACTTGTAATAATTTTGGCAGGGATATAAATTACCAAGAACAGAGTTCTAAAATTTTGTGTTGATGGGAGTAACATTACTATTTGGGGAAGTTAAAAGAAGACATTATTTGCTGTTACAACAAACTTATGGAAAAAACTTTAAAAAATAAAGCTATTTTAATGGCACTTATTCAAATCCATGTTTGTATTTATGGACACAGTAGACTTTTTCTTCATAACTTTGCTCCTAAGTGCAAGGATACCGTAGCATGTTTTCATTTGTAGCCTTCCTGTTCCCTTCAGTACCTACAGTATGTATATTACAATACTAAATTAATTAATAGATCATCTAACAAAGATCACTATGTGCAATACTGTATTTAGTGTTTCTATTTCAATTTTTTTAGAATGTTAATTTATATGAAAATAAAAGGAATAATAATTATATGATTGCCTTCTCTCTTCACTGTCAGGGCTGTGCTGTATTTTGCTAGCAACCATTTGCTTCCTAAGTACCAAGTCATATTCAGGCTTCTGTGATCAAGGAGAAACCTTTGTGAAGGGATTGATGGAAAAGGGGCTTCTCTTTTCCTGCCTTTTGGAAGCATAGTGACAGTAACTTCCAGTTATATGGATATATTACCTTTTCCCCAGGTGGTGGTAGCTAGGAGCTTCTGAGTCCTTTACACAGTCAGACCAGGTATAACTTCTCTGGTTTGTGCATGCCTTTCAGTAGTGCATTTGCCTTAGGTTTGTAACCTGTTCCTACTAGCACTGCCTATGTAACAGTCTCAAGAAATTGCTATAAAGGTAAAAACATGCATTAAAAATTATCTGCATATTACAATGTAAGTTTCACCACTGCTCTTTTGTCAAGTGGCACACTCAGCATTTACAGAATTCTGGACTAATGTTTGTTTGAGTATGCTTTAAAGAGCTTGAACACCCCATTGGTCCCTTCTCCCCACATTTACTGCAACATGAAGCCTAGTACACTTTGAGTTGGCTGTAGTCCTACAAGAGTTCTCATGGACAAGATTCTGAGTCTTTGCTGATCACCAACACTGTGTATCACTCACCTTTACTTAGAAAAAATGCAGTAGCTATATAAGAACTTTCATACCTGAGCAGCAGATGTGAGTTACTGAGATTAACCGTCTTTTTTTTTTTTTTTTTTTTGTGGAGCTAAAAAGATTCATGTTGCTTTGCTTGAAAATTAAAGCCTTTCAGAAGCATGGTCCTTTATCACATGTTATGACGCAGTGGTGGTTACATTTTTTTTGGTAGCACCTTTCATCATCCCAAAGCACTTCCAAACCTTAGTTAAGTATTAACCAACAGTGGCAGCAGCAATACAATCCATGACTTCTTCCATGTCCAGTTTTTTTTCTTGCCCAATTTTTCAGTGATCTGCTTAAGAAGTTGGAAGCAGTTACTCATTTCATAGAGAGAAGATACAGCAGATCTTTGCATTGCAATTATTTTGTTGCATACTCGAGTTAATAAGCAAAGCCAAGTTTCTGCCAAGTCCATTATATCGGTTACTGAAGTTATACCAGTTTTAAGATGCTATGGACTGAGTAAGTGAAAACTGATGGAGCTGTTTTTCAGAAGATAGTGTCAACAAGTCCGCAAAGGAAGAAGTCAGAAAACCATAACCCACAGCATTTGGATCTGCCACCCATCAATCCAATGGGATTAATGTTACAGGTTTTCCAGGCCATTCTCTTGCTTATGACAGACCCATCTGTACCTGTGTTGCACCTGACTTTCATCCAACCTACTTGGAAAGGCATCCAGTGATTTAAGTCCATTGCCCCAAAAAGATGATGTCTTTCTGAAGATAAAGGGTCCCTGTTAAGTCAGCACTGTTTTCTCATTTATTTTCACCTGCAAGTCAAATTTTGCACCTTAGAAACTGGGAGTCTTAATTTGTCCCTCATTCTAAACTGGGGCCCTGCCAACACAGCAGTTCCAGGGCAGTAGAGCTTAACATTTACAGTCCCTTTCCCTCACCTGTCCCACAACACTGCTCTGCTGTAAGGAATCCTGGATCTATCTGGCCTTTGGTTTTGTCTTTTTTTCATCTACTCTGGGAGACTTGCCTTGCTCTTGGATTGCTTCCACAAGGGGGAGATTTTTTGATTACAGCACATGCCTCTGGTATGGTGGTTCA